TAGTAGTGTATGTGCTGTTTTCAATTTATAATAAAAGATCAATAACTTAGTATTTGTATTGCTTACTTATTTTATTTTCCGAACAAATATTTTTATAAAACGATGAATACGATAAAAATAAAGATAGTAAGAAAGTTCAAAATTGAAAATGAATGATGTAATACAATTTAATATATCTGTAACTAGTTATATCATCAAAAATAATATAATTTAAGAAAGTATTAAACCACGACTGCAACACCTGCCTTTTTATTATACATAGCCTAACATAACAACCTAACCTAGCCTAATCTTACATTTATATTATAATTTAGTTTAAGAAAGCCTCATCTTTTTATTTGTGTGTGACACAACTGTTTCATGTTCCGGTCTATTATTAACTAATGTTTCGTTAATAAAAGTATAATTAGAGTTTTGCTTAACTGTAGGTATGTCCGAGATTTCTCGCATTAAAGTATCCTTCGATACGTCAGCCTGTGGTTCATCTTCTTCTAATAAATTTTGTACATTCTCGCATGATTTCCCATAACAATTTACACATATCCGCGTACACTTTAGACCGTGTTTTCGACAACCACATTTTTTGCCACACCCAGTTTTACATTTACAAGAAATTTTGTGCAACACGTCCTCTGGAATTAAGTCATCATCAGAATAACTGGCGACCAAACCATTACAGTCACTTTTCCAGCCAAATTCAAGTGGATTCAAATGGTTTCCCTGTCACGCTTGAATTTGTAAATAGACACGTAAGCTATGTTGTTTTATAGCACCTGCTGTTGGAGGCAGAGTTTTAAATTTAAAATTGGATTTTATTGTTGATCTTTCGAAATGTAGAAATCTTAGATCATTCGATAAAATGGTTTTTTTATTTTTTTTTTCATACTCTAAATCAGTTTTTGTAACATACATTGCTTTAGTAATTTCGCAACCAATTCTCGTAATAGTTTCACTATTAGCAACACTATCAGAAAACTTCTTTGCAAATTCAATTAACGTATCTGACGGCAAACATTTTATAATTGAATTTTTCCCTTTATTAAAAAAAGAAGAAGTAGTGTCACATCCACTAAAAGCATATAAAAATTGTATTATTTCCCGTAATTCTGTAAATTTAAAACTATTGCTTGTAAAATATTGAATTTGTTTCGTTCGACCTGTTGTAATTTTTTTAAAAACTATATTTGAAAAATTAGCTGCTAAATGTGAAAATATCACTAACAAGTCGGTATCATTTCCTACGATAACCACTTTATTGTCATTTTTTGCAGCTTCGACTGCATTTTGAATTATTAAAACGTCGGCGTCTTCTTTAGCTTGTTTAGTACAAAATCCGTGTTCATTTAATTTATTGATCAATAGTTTAATTATACTGTTTTTATTTTTTTCATTTGATAAAAATTCTTTGGGCTTCAAACTTATTTTTGTATTGTAGTCACATATAACTTCACGGCCAATGGAATTCTTCTGTCATCGGAGTCTTTCTGCACATTTTGTGTCATTTACATTACTGTAGCCGTCAAATATGACGATACTATTTTTAGTGAAAGTGTTTTTTGCATAATTTACATATTTATTCAAAATCTGATCCATCGACTCGTTAATTTTCCAAATTACTTGATATAATAAATAACCACCATCCACTACATGTATAAGCGATGAATGGAAGGGACATCCAGTGCAGTGAATAAAATTTTGAGTAACACGCTCTTGTCAGTTTTTATCATTACACCCATTTTAAAAAGAGCAAGTGGATATGGAGCTAATTCATACATTAAGTATTGTTGCATGTCCGATTTTGCACTTAAATTTAAACAAATTCTTTGAAATATCAATAAAGGTTGAATCGTTACAATCGCATCATTTACTTTTATTTTATTGTTCATAGCACTGATCAGTAAAACTTGATCTTTTCTTTTAAATTTAACGTCTTCAAAAGGAATTCCAATAATCCTATTAACTAAATTGATTCCAACTTTGTGTGCTTTATGACAATAACTAATCTTGTGGTTTCCTACAATACCAGAACAAATTGAGTATAATTTATCGGACACTAGAAAAAGATTATTATATTTATAAAAATCAATCAGTAACACTAAGTCAGTAGCATCTCTGTTCATTCTATAGCTACGGGAATCTACATGTTCGGTATTTTCGTATGTGTAGTTGCAAAATTGTTCCATTTCATGTGAAATCTCTAATAAAAGTATAGCGCAAGCTATCCATTTTGTCACTGTACTTTCGGATACCCCTCGACCACGTGTCAATCCACCCATACATTTCATTCCTCTCATTAGGACCTGTTCGATAGCCACATCAGACCATACACCAGACCAAAATTTTGAGGAACGCCGAATAGTAAAATAACCTTGGTTGACAAATTCATCATAGGTTTTTACATCTGAAGTAGATCGCAATTTCATCATATCCTGCAGATAAAGATGGGTCGATTTAGCATAATTCTGCTGACCACTTGCTTGAAAATAAGGTAGTATTTCGTTTACACTCTTTAAATGTAAGTTGAAGTTAGCTGATTGTTCTGCATGATAAAAATCCATCACTATAGTAATAAAATTCAAATACTGAATTCATAGTTGAGCTGTGGGGTCATTGCCTTTTAACAGGTTTAAACGAGTATTAAATTTATTCATTATACTTGTCAAAATAATTCTTTTAAATATATTGTTTAAATGTTGTGTATCGCTGTCACTAAAAGAGCAATCGTCGATTACTAAACCACCAATTACTACGAAATTTAATAGATCACCTCTGATGGCCCCTGAAAAGGCAAGTCCTAGTAAAGCCTTAGTATCAGAATTTTCAGCAAGCGACCCCCTCCCATGATATATCCAACTGCACCGAGAAAAGATATAAGGCTATGAAAACCACCTAATCTGACAATTACATTACCAATACCATATATGTCATTATTAGGATCAACTGAAGCAATTATTGTACGGACTTTCCAATATAAAGGTTACAAATGGAAGAGGTATAATTTCAGATACATCAAATTCCGTTACAAATGAATTTTTCTCTTTATAACCAAGCCATCCCTGCATACTTTTTGGTGATGTTTTTTTGCAATTAACCATAAGAAATTAAGCTCAGCTAAACTGAATTTATGTTCTTCCATATTTTCGAGGGTAATCTTTCTAGCAGCAAGTATTTTAAGGCCATTTAAATTAGTGTTAAAATTTTGAAGAGGTAAAAAGACGAAAAAATCGCATATACTGTCTGTTTTAAGAATTTTTTTAAGTCTTGGAATATTTGAATTTGCTACAACTGCTGAAGATGGAGTAACACTTGCAATACCTCCCATTGCATGAAACGTATTACGCCCATTTATAGTGCAAGTGTTGTGATCAGCATTGTCAAAAATGAATTGTACAAAACAATTTGGCAAAATTTTATAATTCTCAAGGTGTTTAACAATAGATGCTTCAAAAAGCTGAGTTTTAGTTTAGATCATATTGGACTTTACGAGCATCCTGTAGCATAATGCTGCTGCCTCGTATACTCTCATTCGTTCTTCGTAAGTTTTATTTCTAGCATTATACCACTTTTTATCAATTGTATATCCATCACCTGCGTATGTTATTTGTAAATCCCCTCGAAAAAGTTNTTACTTATTTTATTTTCCGAACAAATATTTTTATAAAACGATGAATACGATAAAAATAAAGATAGTAAGAAAGTTCAAAAATGAAAATGAATGATGTAGTACAATTTAATTTATATGTTACTAGTTATATCATCAAAAATAATATAATTTAAGAAAGTATAAAACTACAACCACAGCACCTGCCTTTTTATTATACGTAGCCTATAACATAACAATCTAACCTAGCCTAATCTTACATTTATATTATAAGTAATTTAATTTAAGAAAGCCTCATCTTTTTATTTGTATGTGACACAACTGCTTCATGTTCCGGTCTATTATTTACTAATGTTTCGTTTATAGAAGTGTAATTGGAGTTTTGTTTAAATGTAGGTATGTCCGAGATTTCTCGCATTAAAGTATCATTCGATACGTCAGCCTCCGGTTCATCTTTTTCTAATAAATTTTGTACATTCTCGCATGATTTTTTTCCATAACAATTTACACATATCCGCGTACACTCTAGACCGTGTTTTCGACAACCACATTTTTTGGCTCACCCAGCTTTACATTTACAGGAAATTTTGTGCAATACGTCCTCTGGAATTAAGTCGTCATCAGAATAACTGGCTACCAAACCATTAGAGTCACTTTTCCAGCCAAATTCAAGTGGATTCAAATGGTTTCCCTGTCACGCTTGAATTTGTAAATAGACACGCAAGCTATGTTGTTTTATAGCACCTGCTGTTGGAGGCAGAGTTTCAAATTTAAAATTGGATTTTATTGTTGATCTTTCGAAATGTAAAAATCTTAGATCATTCAATGAAATTGATTTTTTATTTTATTTTTTTCATACTCTAAATCAGTTTTTGTAACATACATTGCTTTAGTAATTTCGCAACCAATTCTCATAATAGTTTCACTATTAGCAGCACTATCAGAAAACGTTTTTGCAAATTCAATTAACGTATCGGACGGCAAACATTTTATAATAGAATTTTTCCCTTTATTAGAAAAAGAAGTGGTGTCACATCCACTAAAAGCATACAGACATGGTATTATTTCCCGTAATTCTGTAAATTTAAAAATATTGCTTGTAAAATATTCGACCCGTTGTAATATTTTGAAAAACTATATTTGAAAAATTAGCTGCTAAATGTGAAAATATCACTAACAAGTCGGAGTCATTTCCTACTTTATTGTCATTTTTTGCAGCTTTGACTGCACTTTGAATTATTAAAACATCGGCGTCTTCTTTAACTTGTTTGGTACAAAATCCATGTCCATCCAATTTATTGATAAATAGTTTAATTATACTGCTTTTATTTTTTTCATTTGACAAAAATTCTTTGGGCTTCAAACTTATTTTCGTATTGTAGTCACATTTAACTTCACGGCCAATGCAATTCTTCTAACGTCGGAGCCTTTCTGCACATTTTGTATCATTTACATTACTGTAGCCGTCAAATATGATCATACTATTTTTAGTGAAATTGTTCTTTGCATAATTTATATATTTATTCAAAATCTGATCCATCGACTCATTAATTTTCCAAATTACTTGATATAATAAATACCCACCATCCACTATATTTATAAAGGGTGAATGGAATGGACATTCAATGGAGTGAATAAAATTTTGAGTAAACACGCTCTTCTCAGTCTTTCTCATTACATCCATGTTAAAAAGAGCAAGTGGATATGGAGCTAATTCATACATTAAGTATTGTTGCACGTCCAATTTTGCACTTTTTAAACAAATTCTTTGATATATCGATAAAGGTTGAATCGTTACAATCGCATCATTTACTTTTATTTTATTGTTCATAGCACTGATCAGTAAAACTTGATCTTTTCTTTTAAATTTAACGTCTTCAAAAGGAATTCCAATAATCCTATTAACTAAATTGATTCCAACTTTGTGTGCTTTATGACAATAACTAATCTTGTGGTTTCCTACAATACCAGAACAAATTGAGTATAATTTATCGGACACTAGAAAAAGATTATTATATTTATAAAAATCAATCAGTAACACTAAGTCAGTAGCATCTCTGTTCATTCTATAGCTACGGGAATCTACATGTTCGGTATTTTCGTATGTGTAGTTGCAAAATTGTTCCATTTCATGTGAAATCTCTAATAAAAGTATAGCGCAAGCTATCCATTTTGTCACTGTACTTTCGGATACCCCTCGACCACGTGTCAATCCACCCATACATTTCATTCCTCTCATTAGGACCTGTTCGATAGCCACATCAGACCATACACCAGACCAAAATTTTGAGGAACGCCGAATAGTAAAATAACCTTGGTTGACAAATTCATCATAGGTTTTTACATCTGAAGTAGATCGCAATTTCATCATATCCTGCAGATAAAGATGGGTCGATTTAGCATAATTCTGCTGACCACTTGCTTGAAAATAAGGTAGTATTTCGTTTACACTCTTTAAATGTAAGTTGAAGTTAGCTGATTGTTCTGCATGATAAAAATCCATCACTATAGTAATAAAATTCAAATACTGAATTCATAGTTGAGCTGTGGGGTCATTGCCTTTTAACAGGTTTAAACGAGTATTAAATTTATTCATTATACTTGTCAAAATAATTCTTTTAAATATATTGTTTAAATGTTGTGTATCGCTGTCACTAAAAGAGCAATCGTCGATTACTAAACCACCAATTACTACGAAATTTAA